TTTCAAGATTTTAGTGTTCGTAGAATTTTGCAACCCTTGCAGAAAGAATAACTCACAATTTGCAAATGACTCAGGATTGCTTTGAAAAAAGGTAACGCTGAGGTAAATTTCAGCGCAAAACGCATTTCTGAGCTTAAAAAAGCTACCAACAGCTTTTTGACTATCCTCCCCAGGATGCGCCAAATTTTAGGTGGCCCCGTGTCCCCTTAGTAAATATTTTACTTTCTCGCTCCCCTTATTTTCAGTGTAGTTGTGTGCCTTTCCTCCCGATGACCTCTAAATGCACTTGTGTGCTTTTCGAAGGTAATTGCACTAATTTGCAATTAGGGACTAATTTTTCTTGTTCAGTACAGAAACAACGGATACGCCATCAGATTCCCTGTGAAAATAGACCTTATGCGAGTAGGCTTCTTTGGACAAACCTGAAATTATGGTTATCTTTAAGCAAAATGTACCGAGTTTATCAGAAAGGAACCAATCCACATTAGGTTTAAACTGAGAAAAAGAGATTTGAAGTTTAATTCTTCCATAAAGCTCAATGTAAAAAATAAACTTCAACCCCTCTTTTCATAAAGTACTTTTTTTTCGACTTTAAGTTTTTGGCAGAAGAAAAGTGGAGCTGAAAATCATTCTTAACTCATTTTTTTTCCGAAGATGTGGGTTGGTTCCTTGCTGATTAACTCGGTCCAATTGCACTGAAAGAAAATTCTCGGCGTTTTTACCAAGGTCCGTTGGTACCGTTACCATCTCACTTTTTTTTTACCAATTCTTGGTAATTTTACCAAGACAGACTGGTAAGCTTACCTATAAACCGGTAGTTTTACTGTTTTTTTTCAGGTAAGAATACCACTTTTATTGGTAATCAATTCCCGGTAACTTTGCCATTTTATCTCGGTATTTCTACCACAGTCGATAAAAAATATTGGCGTTTTTACCGGGGTCCAGTAAAATTACCGAGAAAGTCAATAATTTTACCGAGATTTCTCGGTAAAATTACCAATTCCATAAATGGTAATTTTATCAAGGAAAAACTGGGACCTAATAGAACCTTGAACTCTTGGTAATTTTACCCTTTTCTTACTAAACACACCGAAATTTTTCTTTCAGTGTGTGGTCTAATCCCACTCCTCCGATCCCTAGGATTTTTTGGCAACAGTGGGCCCTTTCTCTCGACGCAGTGTCAAGAGCGGCTCAAGGGGTTGACGCGGGGCCAGTCAAGTGTCGACTGTTTTTATCTGGCTGGCGCTCCCGGCTCCCGGGTGCACCCCCCCCCCTTTCTTTGGGCCGGGGAGTGGGGTAATATCTTCACTTGTTGAGTTGTCGCGCGCCAATATCATAATTATTATTACTGGCTGAGCGTCGCCCTTCTCTAGTGGCCGCGTGCCCCCTCCCCCTCCGCCCCCGAGCTTCGGTCCTTGCGGGCAACCGCCCCTCTTCTCGCGTTTTAGCCGGGACGGTCGCCCGGGCCCGAGAAGGGATTGTTTTCTTTTCCTCGCGTAAACACTGACAACAGATTAACCAAAGCTCAGCTTATGCCGTGACTGTCAAATCGCACGCAATGTCACCTTCTTGTCAGTGGAATATCTCACTAGTTTTACAGAGTATTTGCTGTTCGGGCGTTTTTCTCTACACTGAAAAAAAGTACGGGCTGTATAGACGGATCGTCCGTTTCGGGCTCAGAGGCCGAAAGTTCCGGGCGCTAGAGCCGTACCTTCAGTTTTGCCGCGGAGACATCAATTATACCGGTTTCGAAAGACACTCCTTTTAATCACTCGATTGAACCAATAAACGATGTTAGTAACCTATTAAAAACTATCGCCCGCACCTGAAGTTCGCCTTTCTATTTGCTGCATGAGGAAGAAACATACCGGAGAGCACGAATGGTTATTGAAAAACACACTTTAATCTATATTGCTGCATATTGCACTTGTAAACTTAAACTTAATGAGTAACTTGTAATTAAACACTTTAATCTCACATCCTAAATTTCGTTTACTCATTAGACCATCCTTAATTGACATGGTACCTTCTACTTGAGGCTCGCCTTCAATTTCGTCACATAGGCCAAAAACCTACTGCAGAGCACGAACAGTTATCTCGTTGAGAATGACATAATTTTATTGCTCCAGGAGCTTTGATTGAACCCATCTGTACTGTTCGTCCTTTAAATCGTGCAATATACTAATTACCGTATTTCTAGCAGGGTTTCTTAGAGAAGAATCTGAGAAACCCTAACCTTTCGACAAAATTCTCGCAGATTCCTTCTCGAGAATGATTTCAGTTGATCCAAAGCGTTTGTTTCCTCCTTATGTTTTTGTGTTGTATAAAGACAATCTTTAAATTGAATTCATGCATATGAAACATGTGCGTTGATTGAGTAACCTTTTGCGAGGATGTTTGCTCATTTAGGTTAAGTTTTCTCTAGTCTCCCTCAGGACAAACCTACTTGCCGGTGACTGAGAAAAGCTCCACGAAAAGCGGTGATTTTGAAATAACGCAACATGGACTACGCAAATCGTAAATTAAGAAGACAATTTTAGATATTTTCTGATGTGTTCTGCGCAGGGCCGGATTTACCAATAGGCTACATAGGCTATAGCCTAGGGCGCAACATTTTGAGGGGCGCAAAATTTTTGAGAATTTATTCAAAACCCTGGTAAAAATTGGAGATAAGCGCTGCGTTTCAAAATACCATAGGAATTCTTATAGCCGGCTAAAGAAGGCAACAGAAAATCATATATCTGGCTGTAGAATGCGGAGAAAATCATACGGCCGGGCTATACGAAGCGATAAAAAATTATACAGGCGGGCTGTAGTTCCTATAGTCGGGCTTTACACTTTATCGCCTGGCTGTTGCTTTTTCGCCATCGATTATAAAAGGCTGTAAGAAATTGTGTAGAAATTCGTGTGCTTTGTAACTCCTTAAGTTTGTACGGAATCACCTTAATATTCACAAAACACACATTATATTTTCCTTTACTACATATTTTTTTTCATCAATTAAAATGAGAATAATCCATACAGAGTGTGCAAACATTTCAAAGTTATGAGTTGAAAAACACTGACTCCACGAGCTTAAATATTAGAGCCTAACACAAAGCGGAGTGGCGGCGCACTGGCGCCTTCAAACCTAACAGGGATACTTCACGTATTGCGCAATGCGTGAAGTTTCCCTGTTAGGTTTGAAGGCGCCAATGCGCGTTTCGCGCTGGCTGCCCGCCCGCCGCGCCGCGCCGCAGCGTACCACGGCGCTTGAAGCAACTATTTCACACCAGAGGTATTGAACAGTATCATACAAAATTGCAGGCGCTCGAACATGTTAGGAATGGCAGGCATCCATCAAAAGTACGGAGCTTTCCTCGCAAAATAAATCAAGATACTACGGCCCAAAAAGAGAGCGGTAGTCCAAAAACTCACTAAGTCCTAGCATCCGTAATTAGTAACTTTTAGCATACACTTTATCGCCAGGCTGTCGCTTGGTCGCCATCGGCTATAAAAGGCTATAAGAAATTGTGTTGCCGGCTATAGAAGCTATTGGAAATCTTACAGCTGGCCGTAAGTCTATGGTATTTTGGGACACAGATTCTACAAATTGTGGTTGACAAAGGTGTTTTTTTAAAGGTGAATTTGAAGATTTTCCGGACTCCTAACATCCTTCTTCTGATCTGGAGGGGACGGGCGTCTGGGGGACCACCCCCCCGCCCCCCACGAGAGCGCCTACTTTTAGGGGCGCCACCTTAAGTTTAGCCTACACTGAGAAAAAACTATGGTTTATAAACCTATTAGAGGTAAATATGGAACACCTATAATAGTCGTAAATAAACTAATGATTCTCGGTCTGTGAACCATACTAAGGTCTCTGTACCTAATTAAGGTACCCCGTACCATAACTAAGGTATATGTGCTATTATTATATGTAGAGGTACTACTATTAGTGGTGTTCCATATTTACCTCTAATAGGTTTATAAGCCATAGTTTTTTCTCAGTGTAGGGCGCTAAAAATGTAAATCCGGTCCTGGTTCTGCGTGGTCTTCTTGCGATTTCACCTTTTCAAAGTCTCCCCATTTTGCTATGTCTCTTCGATGGAAACAAAAGTCTCTTGGGTCTAGAGTCTCCAGGCTTTTGAAAACATTAACAAAAATGTATGAGGAACTTGGAGGACAAGGTGCATAAGTACAGTTTTTGATATTTCGAGAAATACCTGTTTGAAGTTTCGAAATTACATGGATCCGTACGGCGGAAAGAAAGTTCAAACTGACTTCTTCATGCTTGAAAATTGGAATTTGGGAGCGAATTTTTCACAGAATATACATTAGGCCTAGTTTCCTGTAAAATCATTAATATCTCAATTTCTTCAAAAACTGCACTTCGGCCCCTTGTCCTTCAAGCCGCTCAAATACTCTTGATTCAATCGGATTTTCGTTTGAATTGAAAGCCAAACCTCTTAATTTAAGCGGGTTTCATTTGATCCAAGAAAAATCCGATTGTATCAAGTGCATTTTTCTTGTCAGAATTTTTAAGAGTCTGAACTCTGGATCCGAGAGACTTTTTTCCAGTGTTGTCTGCTACAAACACATTTTTCCGCGAATTTAGATCATCCACTAATTATACGAAGAAACCGCATCAAGTCAGACGCTCTGCGTAAATAAAAATTTCTGAGGAGAATTATGTGGTGCGATGCTGGAATCTCTATTATACGCGGTGAAACATGCATATTTATACTTGTTTAACCTCGAGCAATATGTTGCCAAATCGTCATAAAACCTCGCAGATTTCCCATCAGAATTCGAATATCTAGATCCCTCCCGCGCGACTTGGTGCAACGCTGCCTGTCAGAAATGCACACATGTAAACTGATCCGTGTTTTTAATTATGGTTCGCGACGTGTTTACGTGCGATTAAAATATATTTTCCGTAATTATAATAATTAAAAATTAACTTTGTGTCTCACATTCAGCATTCATGCAAACCTCATCTGTTTTTTGTATATATTTTCCAGGCCGCTGACCATGAAGACGACACTGCTTCCGTAACCTCAGTTGGCGTAAGAATATTTTTATTTCTTTTTTCTCTCCATCATTTTCCTTCTGATGGTGCCCCTTTTCTTCCTGTAGGTCTTTGGAAGCCCAGTTACCATCATAATAATTCAGGAAATCCTACCTCAGGCATCTATAAGTTCGGAATTTCTGGAAAGTCCGGAAATAGTACTGATTTTTAAAGGGCGGTCCGGAAGTACTGAAAAAATCGCGTAAATTCCGCCAGAAAATCCGGAATTTTTTTCATTTTTTTATCATATTTTTGCAATTTTAGCGAGAAATTAAAAACATTGTTGAATTTCGTCAAATGGCGGCACTGAAAAATCGCTGAATTTTTCTGTCGAGGAGGTATGGAATTTCTTTGGAATGTACTAAAAAAGCACTTTAGAAGTAGGTACTGATTTTTGGCCAGTCTGTTTTAGTAGACACCCTGTAACTATTCCCTAAAAAGAGAGAGAGAGAGAGAAAGGAAAATAATGATACCTCAACTTCGTGAATCAGTTTTGCACACGAAAGCTCAGGACGTATTATGCTAAAAGGAACTATGTCGTACGTTACTCTTATTATAGATACGTCTAATTCAATGAAGTGTGTGCACAAGGCATCATTATCCTTCTCAAAAAAAAAATCAATGAAACAATTATCTTACAATCGGGAAGGACGAAGTAGTCATCAACATAATAGAAATTGATTTTTTTAAATGATCTCTTTCTTTTAGAGCGACCATTTTTTTCAACAAAGCTATATTCATACTTTTACGTCAACAGCAGAGTGTAAATATTCAATCGTCGAAATAGCTTGATAAAAATAATAATATCCTCTGCCATATGGACGATGAGATCGGAATAATTTAGACCCTACTTTTGAGTCTTCGACTTAACTTTACTCTATTTGGTGCAAGTTGATTCTAATACGACATGAATTAACTTTAAAATGCCTGAATTGCCGAAAAGTTGGAGTTTCTTTTAACTCGGCTTGTCTTCATTATGGGAACAGAAAATTATTATTTTTAACGGTTATTTTTCTTTATTTAACAATTCCGAATCTCTAAAATTCGGAAATTTTCATTCAGTGATCAACTGAAATCAGCAGTAATCACAGAGACAATATATCTGGACGTATTTATGCTAAAAGGAACTATGTTCCACGCAAACCTTATGTACATAGGTCCTTTTAGCATAAATACGTCCATTTTAGAGACCGCGCACCAACAATCTCAGCAATGCAATTGCGCGAGGCAAAAGTTGAATGAAGAGGTCATCGCTATTGATAAGCAGCTTGTTGAGCTTAAAATGAAATAAAATTCGCCGCATGATGACTGTTGAATGTCGGAGTGAGCACTGTGCAAGGTGGGTTTTTGCAAATTAACTTGATTTCTAAACCCATTGCGCACACGGAAAAAAAAAAGAATTGCTGATTCAGCAATTCAATTGCTAAAAGCAGTGAGTGCAATGTTTCAATGTAGATTTTACAACACAAAAATGCTACTTTAAAAGTAGTTTACAATGTGGTTAAAGTAGCATTTTTGTGGTTAAATTAGTTTACAATGTGGTTAAAGTAGCATTTTTGTGTTGTAAAATCTACATTGAAACATTACACTCACTGCTTTTAGCAATTGAATTGCTGAATCAGCAATTCTTTTTTTTTCCGTGCAAGTTTCTGGTCATCAATCATCATGAGGCGAACCAGAAAGTTGACTCTCGAAAATACTCCGAGAAAAGATAGTAATGCAGGGTCCCAAATATATATTGTCTCTAGCAAGGAACATGTCAATGATTATTCACTTTGACGCTTTTCTCATTTCAGTCGGACGCCAAATCGAGGGAATGGATGATCCAGTCGGCGCGATCGGAATATCAGACGCTTGCCAAATTAGCTGCGGAAAATCCGAGACTCGTCCGTTTCAAGGTAAAAATGCATGAGAGAATTTACCCATATTGATCTTGCTTGTGAACTTTCGTGTTACATGTCGGTCAATTAGTTATTGTCGAAAATACTCTCAAATCTCTCACTTGAACCCTGAGCTCGTGCGATTCCAAGGGGTCGCTCGAGCATTACTTAAGGGAGGGAAAGAGGGAGCCTGAGTTCAGCCTACGGAGTCTTACGAGTGAAAGGGGGCGCTATCCTCCATTTAAAAAAAAAAAAAAAACAACACCCAAAACACCCTGTCACCCAACATTAGGGTGAGCTCATTTTTCGAAAATCTAAAATGAATCATTAAGGTGACAATTTTTCATCAAAAATCCATCACAATTTTTTTTTTTTTTTTTTTTGGGGGGGGGAGGGAGAAAATTGCGTTATGAGGGAAAAGGGAGTAAAAAAAAAAAAATCAGCTAGGTCTTTTATCGGCTCTCCAACTTTGGCCGCTATTTTCTAAGATGACCGTTAAAAGTTGACTTTTCATTATTTTCACATTTTGCAGAGGATTTAATGATTCTATGCAGCGTTATAAGCAGAACGTTTCGAACCGTCCATTCCGTCGCAGCCAAATACCTAATGGTTGCGGCATGACACCTAGAATAAGATCGCTACTCGATTTTTTTATCGGGTGTCATTGTCTTTTGCAGCTGAAAATGAGCCTTTAACAACTTAAACCGCTCTGCCTTTTTTAGTTTTTTATAAAATTTTAGCCCTTGGTTCTTATTCCGTCGCGTCGCGCTGTAGATCCCCCTAAGAGTTAGACTAATGCAGACTCGAAGTCCAACTCTGGGATTTTTTTAATAGATATTTTATATTTTTTATGGTTTTTTTTCTATTTTTATTCGATCCCAAACGTAGGGGATCGAAAGCCCCCTATTAGTGAAGTACGATTCGGCGATGCAGATAATGATCGAGACTGAACATTGTTACGTAGTCGAATCCGCTGTCGATCTGGTAAGCGCTGTCTGTCTTGGCATCATCTTCATCTATTTCAAATCGCTTCTCGTCGGGAGAACCTTATGGAATTCGCCGCAACGGCAACGCTCCTCGAGCAGATTAGTATAGGATACGATTTTAAGTGGTCTGTGTTTACAAGAAACAATCAAAACAGGCTTGTAAAACAACGCGCACGCCAACCGTAAAAGAATTCGGATTTCGCCCACCGAGCCTAACAATAGGACGTATTTCGGCCAAACGGAACTATGTGTATCATGACGTGAGCCCCGTTTCGCGTATATTCTTATGGGTCTCAGGGCTCATGTCTTAATGCACATAGTTCCGTATGGCAGAAATACGTCCAATTGAGGGAAACTACGGGATTTCGGGCGGCGCCACGCTATAAGTTGGGTGCCGATGACTATCGACACGGATGTCTTACCTGGAAGGGCATTGTAAAACGACTAAATCTCGACGTAAAAAATTCGGACAGGTGGCACCCGGTCTCGAGGAAATTCCTGGCCACTAATGGACGAGCCTCAAGGCCCTGGCCTCATTCCGTTTATGACGTCACACCCCACACCCCCACTGACCTCTTATCCGGGTGGTCTATGTCTTGCATGTTTCCAAAATTCTCACGCCGTCCTCGTCCCGTTGGAAAGAAATCGCCTGTTCAACGAGGGTGACATGTCCACAAATCGCTCAAAATGAGTCAGTTTTGCTGGGCATAGAGTAGCATTTTGATGGTTTAAGCTCACGGATCAGTAAAAATACTTAAATTTGACCGAACGCTTAGTTTCTACGTTCAGTACTAACGGAGATATCGCCCCCCGAAAAACATGGTGTTGGACGTCATCCACCGCGGAACTACACCCCACATCCAATGGTTTCTGCCACCAATGATTCAGCAATCAGTGATGCACACCTTTTCATTGGTGGTAACTCACGCGGATGAAACCGAGGTAGGAGGAACCAAGCATGCATGTACCTGCACCCCTGCGGTCGTTGACGTAAAGCACTGTTTTATGAAGGAACATCTCGGTTAATATTGGACGTGAAAACTTGGCATTTTGGCAGATCCATTCGTTGCTGATCTATGATCGAAATTCCTAAAATCGCAAAAAAAAGAAAAAAAAAACGATTCCGTGATCAGGGCAAATAACTCCAAAGAGAAATGTTTTTCTCTCTAGATTTTTTTCGCGGAAGGGAGCCAACGCTACCTCCCTTAAAATGACCATGTTGGTGAGTGAAACATGGTATCAACATGGCACCAAAGCGGTCAAATTGCCCAACGGTGACCAACATAGAGAAACCAACATGGTCTCAATATTGCTCCCTGTTGGTAATATGCTGGTCACTGTTGGGGAATCTGATCAATTCGGTGCTATGTCGGTAAAATTGGTGACACCATGATCTTAAGTAGGTACTATCATGGTCGTTTCCTAAAGAATGATGATAATTCTTTGTTTTTCGCGAATCGCGCGATTTTCAGAGTCTATGAGGATCTGCGTGTCCTTGGTGCACATTTTTAAAGCTTTGATTTTTTTTTCTTTAAATCTTGCTTAAGTTTTACTTGGTTAACACTCAAATTTTAATGAATAGAATAATCAGTTTTAATTTTTTTATTATTTTAATAACAATTTTGATAGGGAAAAATCAAATTTACGAATGTAGGGCGATTGATGACTTCCATTTTCAGCGTGTGAGCTCGGCGCCTTCCTCCTCCCTACATTTCTCTGCCCTTTGTTGCGGCGTAAGCCAAAGGCTTTTTTGTCCGAACGGGCACGGGCGAAATATTCATGAGAGCGGCCGTCCCACTGCGAACAGGTGCGAGCGGTGCGGGCCGTCCAAGTGCCCAAGTGCGCTCGTCATTAACATTTCACCTAGGACGACGGCTCGCTCGGGCTTGGATGGATCCCGTCCCGGGGTCCGTTCCCAACCGACCGGGGACGGCGGGACCCGCCAACACCTGCGCGCGCTCACGCTGTCGCGCCTCATTCGCCGAACGCCCCGTTGACGTGTGGTGTGCCGTGTGATGCGGGCTCCAAAACGGACAGCCGGCCCACGCCTCCGTAAAGCCGCAGCGCCAAACGCACGCTTCGATTGGAATCGGCAAGGAATCAAGAAGGAATGAACCAGTTGCAAACAAATTTTAAGGTTAGAAAATAATAGTTCCATTTTTAGGGTGTCGTCAAATCCGGAATCTCCCGGAAGTCCGGAAAAAGTACTGATTTTTTAAGAGCGGTCCGGACGTACTGAACAAGTGCGGAAATTCCGCAAGAAGGTCCGGGATTTTTGTTACTTTCGTCGCAATTTGAGAAAGAAATTCAATTTTTTGAAATTTTTCGAATTGAAGGCTCTGAAAAAGTACTGAATATTTCTGTTGAGGAGGTCCTGAAATTTTGGGAATGTACTGAAAAAGTACTGATTTTTGGCCAGCTTGTTTTGGTAGACACCCTGATTTTACTCTAAGAATGAGGCTCTCATTGGCTCTCTGGTCATATTTTACTCCTTACGGCTGTTGTGTCCGAAACAACGTCAATTTTTGCGTAACTACGGCTTTCTCATCTCGTACAGGAAAGACAAATTTACTGTTTTAGCTGTTTCAGTGATTTTCATCTACAAGAGATCAGACTTTTAAAAGAGACTCGATTTCAAAAATTTGAGCTTTACAACTCCCTCCGCTATGCGGCACTTGGGGCAGGAACTGTCTCGAGTCTGTTCCAAATGTTCACCTGTGACATTCTATCGTTTTTGAAGTGGGAAGCTTAAAAAACTCATATTTCTTACGCAGATTGTGAAATTAGGAGTTTATCAACGCTCAAATTTTCGAAATCGAGTCTCTCTCAAAATTCGATTGATCTCTTGGAAATAAAATTACTAAAATAGTTGAAACGGCAAAAGTCGTCTTTTTTGCATGTAAAACCGAGACTATGAGAAAACCGTAAGTGTACTAAATTGAAGTTGTCTCAGACGAAACAGTTGGCAAAGGAGTCCTATTCCGGCAAAGATCCAATGAAAGCCGTACTTATAAGTAAAATTGCGCCCTTTCGTATAACCTTTGAATTTGTTTTTATGTCCGCAACGCAAACGCAATAGCATGCAGAATATGTAACTTACGGCTGTCTTGCCCAACACTAGCCTATAATATGAAAATGGTAAAAGGCCCTGTTTATAAAGTTGTAAATGTAATTCGTTGATTTTTAATCATTAACTATTTCTGAGAGTTTTTCGGATGAGCGGTGGCAATTTCTTAAAGAACGGAGGCTTCTTTCAATAAAATTACTCGCCACACGCTGCCAAGCCCATTTTCTCAAAATTTAATTTTTGCCTTACGATTCTTTTCGCTATCACGGCAGAGTCACGGCAACGTCCGCGCATACATCATGACAACTTTCGAAATCAAGATTTACACCTTAAAGGGGCCCCTTGAACCGTGGAAGCATGAAACAAGGTCTCAAAAATTGTCTTGCGAGGGCTCATGAGCGGAGTGACCGTAAGCAGCATCCTAGGATCATGATCAGACTTCCAACGGAAGTCAAAGCTCCTCCATCTCTCGGCGGATAACAGTATCAACACTCAATTTCGTTCTAAATCTATTGTCTCCGTATTGAGACAATGCTTGATTAGGTGATGCTATCGACATCTAGGTGTGCGCCTCTCTATGTTTGGACAATTGTGAAATGCTCGGTCGAACGCTGTAAGATTAATGATAGAAACTTAAATACGATCAGTCAATAATATGTATTGTTTTCCCCTCCTCTGATACCTCGGTCTTTCTTCTCTTGGACGTAATGATTTAAGGTTAGGTGAGGCCCAAAATTTGAATTACTGACCTCAGGCATTGTTGTTTCGAATCTTTTTACGGACTAAAAAATTGCGAGCAGTTGGAAAGGAGATTAAAAGTTTAAGGTATCATCGAAGGTGTTTTTTTAGTAAATTGCAGGTCTGAAACTCATGCTTTTCCGCCATTCGCGATTGAGGGTGTGTGAGTACGTGTGTATTGATCGCGTCCGATCTATAATCCTGTTTATATATTCTTTTCCATAGGG